TAACTCCAATGGACTTAGGATTACTGCTAATCTTGGACTCCCAGTAGAATTAGGATAAACTCTCTAAGAGTCTCATCTTTACCCAAACTAAAATCTTCTCCCATTCTAGGACTCTTGTCCCTTATCCGCTTATCTCGGATTCCGGTATTCTAGCAGATAACCTCGGCCTAGCCGAGATTACCTCGGCATCATGAGCAGGACACACGGCACCTCGGCTGGCACCTCGGTGACACCTCGGCCACGTGTTGTCATTCAAAAATTATGTCCCCACAACTGCCCCTAGGTTCTATTACCTCGGCATCCTAAGGTGATGGAACCTATACATGTACTCATCCGGTCGAGTTCATGGCTTGTCGACGCCAAGAATTTAGGACTCATATGTCCACTCATCAAAAATTAAGAATCAAGAATCATCATGTTCTTTCTCATCCAGGTTCAACATCTCAACAGAGATCACACTATCATCAGAGATCATCATCAGATTTGGCACATACCAATCACGCCCCCATTGCGTCGCATCAGTTCTGCCCCCTACCGTCTGACGTTAGCACGGGTACGTCAGGATTTCTAATTCCAACGAAACCATTTTATTTCTATCTGTGTCCCTAGACTCTCTTTCTTTTTATTCTCCCAAATCTGCCATGTTTCAAGCTCTGCAACCACTTCCATCTTCTCCTCCGGTGAAGCTTTTGCTGATCCTTTCAGATTGCTGCCATTACCTGACTTCGGCATACTAAACACCGGCTTCATTTTCTTCGGTGAGTTATTCCTTTTTTCCCTCTTTAGTTTCATACCTTGTTGTCTCTGCTTGTTTTCCATGTTTGAACATATCCGTCTGCCTGTCCCTAAGGATTTTCCTCTCAAGAATGTTAGCAACCTCGTCCTGTCATTCCCTTCATCTGCAAGCCAGTCTGAAGACGAAGCTGAGTCTGAGGATCAGACTAAGGCCGAGAAGAGATGAAGAAGCTGCTGGGCCCAAGTCTTCAATTCTGAATGAGCAAGTCTCCGACTTGACTCAGGATGAAGGGAATGAGGTCTCAAAGATGCTATCCCTGAGAAGACCACATCTGACGCTTCTATCACCAAGAAGAGCATCGACTAGACTCTATAAGAGACCGACGTCGAGCTCGAGGCCGAGAAGGTTGCCGGGAAGTCTCCCCAGCTGTCTTTTGGGGGTGACACATAGTCCGTTGCCAACGTCGAGTAGTTTTGTTTATGATCTTTTTTTTCCTTTGTACTTAGTACTTTTTTCTTTTTGAACAATGTTTAGCTCTTCTTTGGCCGATGCGCCTTTTTGTAATCTGAACAATTTTTCTTCAATGTCAGGCCGAAATGCCTTCTTTCCTTATCTGAATGCATTTTCAATGTGATTGTAAGTTTGTATGCTTTCTTTTACTTGTCTTGTATGATTCCATACTTAGAATATTTTGCCCAAGAATTTAGGACTCATATGTCCACTCATCAAGAATTAAGAATGAAGAATTATCATGTTCTTTCTCATCCAGGTTCAACATCTCAACAGAGATCACACTATCATCAGAGATCATCATCAGATTTGGCACATACCAATCACGCCCCCATTGTGTCGCATCAGTTCTGCCCCCTGCCGTCTGACGTTAGCACGGGTACGTCAGGATTTCTAATTCCAACGAAACCATTTTATTTCTATCTGTGTCCCTAGACTCTCTTTCTTTTTATTCTCCCAAATCTGCCATGTTTCAAGCTCTGCAACCACTTCCATCTTCTCCTCCGGTGAAGCTTTTGCTGATCCTTTCCGATTGCTGCCATCATCTGACTCCAGCATACTGAACACCAGCTTTATTTTCTTCATTGTTAGGCCGAAGTGCCTTCTTTCCTTTTCTGAATGCACTCTTTAATTTCTTCTTTCAACGTGGTTGAATGTGTTTTCTTTTTACTCTTGTACGATTCTATACTAAAAATAATTTGCATATCTTTAATATACACTTCAATCTTTGTGCAACCTTCTCAGGGTGACACACCTCGGTTATACAAACTGATGATTTACCTCGGCAAGTACCCAAATACCTTTCCTATCATAACCTTGGTTTTAGCTTGTAAATTTTTTCAAAAAATTTCAACGAGTGTTTAACCTTAGTCTTCGTTTAACTTGAACTTGTAAACTTTTCTCAAGTTTCAACAAGTGTTAAATATCATCTCGGTTTAACTTCAACTTGTAAACTTTTCTCAAGTTTCAACAAGTGTTAAACATAATCTCGGCTTGCCAAATTCCAACTCCCAAGCATCATTCTTCAGTCCTTTGCCCCCTAATGTGAACTTAAGTTCTACTTGGGTTCTCATTAGGCACGTGGCTTTGACTTTGATATTGCTCTATGGGCAAGGGATCTGCCCCCTACATGGCTTCCACATACTACTTTGTGAAAAAAATTCTTTAACTTAGGCCAAGCTCTTCTCTTCTCGGACTTAATCATCTAAGTCGAGATCTTGTCTTCTGGGATCTGGGATTCCAGATCTGGAATCTGGGATCTGCTCATTTGGGCTAAGCTCTTGTCTTCTCGTGTCCAGTATTACCTCGGCTTTGCTTCGGCGAACCATTTATCTTCTCTTGTTTGGACGTCTTTCTCCCCGGCGTGTCTTCCTCGGCTCTGGCATACTTTTCTATTATGGCCATCAGCTCCTCCATGCTTTTCGGCAATGGTTCGAAACAGGCAGTCATCATTCAAGCCATTTTTAAACGACATGACCGCCACCTCTTGGTTGCATCCTAGTATTCGGTTAAATACCTCATAATACCTTTTGGCATAGGCCCTACGACTTTCATCCTCGCCGATCTTCAGGGCCGTTAGGGCGTCTACCCTCAATGGCTGTAGTTTGTTTGTCATGAACCTAGCCACAAACATCTTGGCCAGGCCTTCCCAGGTTTTCACAATTCCTTTCGGCAACTTGTGAAACCAGTCCGGTGCAATTTCCCCGAATGATGAGGGGAACACTTTGCAGAGCAATGGCTCATTCCCAGTGTATAACGTCATCGCGTTCATGTATAATCCGACGTGAAAGTTGGGGTCCGACTTCCCATCGTATATCTGGAACCTCGGCATACTGAATCTCTTCGGGACCTCAACTTTGTCTAATTCCTCCAAGAACGGCATTCTCGGTTTGACCGGGGAGGTTACCTCGGCATCTTGTTGCTTCCTCGGTAGGTGATCTCCCAAATCCTCTTTAGTTCGTCCAAGGGCTCGGCTATCTCTAGATTTCAACCTCTTTGGTGCACTACTTCTAGTGTCATCGTGAGTCCTTTTGGACCTCCCTCCACTGGTCGTGTCGAAACAGAGTTCCTTCCCCTGAACATCCCGATGTTCTTTGGTGCAGGTTTCTTTTGTTCGACGTGCCTTCTGGGATTCTCCATGCCCGACCTCCCGAGAAGGCTGGTGAGAATGTCCCTTGGTCCCACCATGCTGAGGGACTGCAGGAACCATTTTCTGCCCCCCCCCTTTCTGGGCACCTTTCTTGGCCGCTGGAATCGGCGTATCTTGTAGCGGGAACGATGGCTGCATGACGTTGTTCTGCATCATAAAATTGACAACCGTTTGTAAGTCCGCCAATTTGTCCGTCATTCTCTTTATCTCGTCGTCCCTTCGTAGGCATCTATCTTTCCATACCTGGTGGTCGTCCTCGTTATAATACCCTGCTCCGGTCCGATTTCTTTGGTACGCCGCCCTCCTGGCCGACGTCCGTTCCTCCGTGATTCTTATCACGAGTCTCTTTATTGCAGTTGTCTTCTTTGACATCAAGGTCAATATGTTTCCCACTCTCAGTAGGGGTGTCGTTCCCAACCTTCTCTTTCTGTCCGTCGTTGGCCATCTATTCTCCTTTCTTTCCCACAGACGGCGCCAAATTGTGTGAGTGATTTTCCGACCACACTGCCAACTCAGTATTCAGCTGGAGAGCACTGGCAGAATAGATGGCACCCGTCTGACCTGCAACAGAAAGAGAAGATTCCGGCGGTGGTTTGTCCACCCAGGGGCACTTCGACGATCAAGTCAGTATATCTCTCAAAGATAATCAATAGTGCTCAACTCACTGGACAAAGCATAAAAAACATACCTTAGACCCATGAGGGTGCCTCTCTTTTATAGCCAACATAATCCTAGTCCCGGTAGAAGCCTAGCTCCAATGGACTTAGGATTACTGCTAATCTTGAACTCTCAGTAGAATTAGGATAAACTCTCTAAGAGTCTCATATTTACCCAAACTGAAGTCTTCTCCCATTCTAGGACTCTTATCCTTTATCCGCTTATCTCGGATTCCGGTATTCTCGCAGATAACCTCGGCCTAGCCAAGATTACCTCGGCGTCATGAGCAGGACACGCGGCACCTCGGCTGGCACTTCGGTGACACCTCGGCCACGTGTTGTCATTCAAAAATTATGTCTCCACACTAACTAACAGATCTGAAGGCAACATTCATATATGGTTTGATTACACACAAGCCTATATGCCCATAACAAGAACAAAATTCAAGAACCAGGATTTTAGAAGAACTAAAAGAACTTAAAAGAAAGTAACAACCTAAAATCAGAAATCAAATAATCTATACAAGAAATTCTTAAAGAAGTGAAAGAACTGAACTAGAACTACAGAAAACAAAAACCTACTAACTTTTAATGTGAAACCACTTTGAGAAGTGCATTGTTGCCCTTAATCCTCCTTCTTCACAGAAAGTTGAACGCCTTAGGCTCAACAAAACTATCCCAACTATGCATCCAAAATAATAAATAAAAAGAAGAGCCAAGAGTGGTAACAGATATATATCTTTGAGCAAATGAACAGCCATAAAGGTCGATTGTGCATTTCATAACAGGAAGAACGAATCAACGAATATGATAACAATGAGAATATAGAAGAACCAGGGTGCTAGTGCATAACAATAACAATAAGAATGCAAGTTATTAAATCAACTGTAATTTATGGGAATCATAACATTTTCAAATGGCCCTAATGTGATGCATAGAGAGGTAAAGATGTCATCAACCTTCTGATTTCTCCGTATTCATTGCCAATAAAATATCATAACATACAATTTAAAGAATTAAGTACAATTCGATCCCTTCTATCTATGCAACTTCTTTTTTTTTTTTTTCTTTTTCGATCAGCAGTACTGACGCACGTACATTACATTACATGGTGCCAAAGCTCTGTTGCAACCATTTTGCTTGGACTTGAAGCCCAGCATCCCTCAAAGCATTCAAAGCGGAGCGATAGAGCCTCCCATCTAACTGAGTTCCTTCTGTTTTCATATCCTGCAAAAGGTTTACCAACTCATCAATCCGACTCATCTTAGAGAACACACCAACCATGATTCCGGCCATTGCCCTATCAATCACACCTCCGTTAATCCTAAACTCATGGTAATATTTCATACACGTTTCGAACTCCCTTGCCTTACTATAAGCACTTATGACACTCGTGTAACTCACCTTATCGGCCACAATCTTCCTTCTCTTCATCTCTTTCCATATCTTCTCCACCTGCCTCAATTTCAAGAGCCTTCCATGCATGTCGAGCAGAGAATTGTAAATCCAAACATTTGGCTCACACCCTCTTTCCTTCATTTTGGCTACGAGTCTCATTGCATCTCTAAGCTTACCTGCTTTACCATACATTGCAACCATGTTAGAGTAGGCCACAATACATCTATCAAACCCTTTGTTTTCCATCTCTGAGAATGCCTTCTCTGCTTTTAGATACAGCCCAAGACGATAATACACGTTTATAATCGAAGCATAGGTCACTTGGCCCGGTTCACAACCCTCCAAGATCATATCTTCATAAACTTCAATAGCAGCTCTAAGCCCTCTCCTCTTGGAGAAGCCATTCACAATTGCACAGAAAATGCAATCAGAGACTCTGATTTTCACACGCTTCATCGCAGCAACGATTTCCTTGGTTTTCTCTAACAATCCTTCTTCAACATACATCAAAACCAGTTTCAGAAAAACCGCTGGATCTCTCAACATCTTGTTGCTCTCTGCTTCCATGAGAAGCTCTTCTGCTATCTTAACTTCTCGAATTCTAGCAAATGAACAAATCAGGGAAGAGTAAATTGAATGATCCTCTGGAATACCCTTCTTTTTCATGTCTCTGAAGAACTCGAGAGCTTCAAAAGCACGCCCCGATTTCCCCAACGACTCACATAAAATCCCGTAAATTTCCCTAAAAATTGGTTTTGGTGATGATGTTGAATCAATTATTGTTGTAGATGATCTACTTTCAAGTTGTTCAAACAATGAAACAACTCTGTCAAAATCACCAGTTTTCATATAAGCTTCCATCACCCGGGAATAGCATCCGAGGTCTAGAACAATTCCAGAAGATTTCATAAGGCCATAGAGGTCAATAGTACTGCTATACATGTGAAGCTTGTTATAGCCTTTCATGGCTGAATCAAAGGCCAAAGTGGCAATTTCATTGTCAGTTTTGAAAACTTGTAGCAGAGTATGTGCAAGTTTGAATTTTCTAGCTCTAACACAGTAACTGACTAATCTACAGCAAGAAAAGCTATCAGGGAACACATGGAAAGTTTTGAAATCTTGGCAGATTGAAGTAACTAAACTCCACTTCTTTGAACGTATCAAGTACCTGATCAGATAGTTTAGAGTCGATTTCTTGGGTAGGAACTCATAATCTGGGTTTTGCTTTGCTTTTTCATAGAAATTATATGCAAGTTCTTGGGTTTGGGGGTCTTCAAACAAACTACATATGAAACCATTTACGTCCCCCCCAGAAAGAAAATGGGCATCTTCATCTTCTGCTGTAAAATGTTGAATTTTGGGGTTCAATGGAAGGATTGGTGGTGGTTGGGTTGTTGATGATGATGGGTCTTCCAAGATGGGTGATGGGCAACCAGTGGAGTTGGGTATGAAAACTCTCAAATTTCTGAATGGAAGACACAGAAAATGTAAGGATTTACATTTTGAATCCAAGGGAAAGACAGACTGGTGGGTTGTTGTTGTTTTGGAATAGTTGATGGAGGAAGCCACAGACCAGTCTGGAGAACTGGGGATGGCCATTGGAGAGAGATAAGGTCTGAAAGGGTGAGATTAGATTGTCTTGTCGGACCATATATGTACACTGAATTTTGCCTTGCATCATGTGGATCACATGAAACACTGAATGAGTGCCACGTGGAAGATTATGGACTAGGAAATGCTATTTTATTTTTATTTTTTATTTTTTTAATCTTAAGAATGATAGTCTGTTTAATCTCAAAAAAAAATTTCTTATAGATAAATTAATTCTATTAATTTTAAAAAGGTAAATTTAATATATTATTTAGAAATTGAATTTATAGTTATACCTTTATTTCTATTATGTTTTTTTCTTTCTTTCTTTTTACTGTTAGAAAGATAAAAAAACATAATCTATGAGAATCATATTTTGGATGAATTTTTGTATGAGAATATTTTTTATTTGTAATGACTTGAAAAATGAGATTTTTCAAACATTTTGAAAGGAGTACAAAAATTATATGAAATATAAGATTATTCAAATATTTCAAAAAGACTTGATATTTTTGAAAATTTTAGGAGTACAAAAATTTCTTAGTAAATTTTAGGCAAATATATAATTTCAAATTTTAACACATATAACACTTCAAAAAAAATTCTTAGTGTAACACCTAATATAATACAAAAAAATTTCACAATGTACTTTTTCTAAACGTAAAACTCAAATATAATACTCTAAAAAAAACCCCTTAGTGTAATACTTCAATGTAACACACAAAAAAATTCCTCAATGTACTTTTTCTAAACATAATACTCCAATATAACACTCAAAAAAAAAAAAACTCCCTAGTGTAACACTTCAATGTAACACGCAAAAAAAAAATTTAGTGTGAATTTTTTTTCAAATATAACACTTCAATTTAACATTCCAAAAAAATATGTGGGATTCTTCAAACCATTCCAAAAAGAGTACAAAAATTTCTTAGTAAGTTTTGAGTAAATATATAATTTCAAACTGTGAGTGTTACGTTTGGAAAAAGTAAATTAAGGAGTTTTTTAATATTTTTGTGTGTTACAGCGTGTTACATTAGAATTTTACGTTAGGAATTATATTAATTGGAGTGTTACGTTTGAAAAAAAAAATACATTAAGGAGTTTTTTTGAAGTGTTATGTTATTAGGTTTAGGAAAATTACAATAAGAAATTTTTTAGTGTGTTACATTTGAGTGTTACGTTATTGAACGTTCTTATTCGTAATGTGGAATTTATTCTGGACGGAAGGAAAATTCAAAACCTCTATAGTGTGGATTGCCCAAATGTGTAATTTTAAATTTGAAAAAACCTACTTTTATTCCTCAAACATTAAACTCAAACATGTAAGTGACTATCTTTTTATGTAATTTCCCGTTTAATGAGACCCGTGGGTTCATTAGAAAAAAAGGAGGACCAAATAGTTTACAAAATCATGTTTTATGATTTATTGGTACTTCACAAAAACAAAACAAAAAAAAAAATCCATGATAATTGAGTCAACAAATTTTAAGAAGGAAGAATTACAATTCGGTCTACTTTTTAAAAAATAATTACAGATATATAAAAAAATATATTTATATTTTTAATTATTAATATTTATAAAACTTAACATTAATTTGTAAATATCATTGATTTGACATTTCTTCTTTTAAGGAAGACCATGGCTTCTCTGTAGTCTGAAATCGGACTAGAGTGTGTTGTTGAATTTCAATGGGCTTATTATGGAGCCATATCTATGATATGAACCATTAACATATAAGATTCATCGAGTATTTCATCGTTAGAAAAAATCATGTTGATCAGATATCGATAGCCACTTAAACAGATTAAATTTGTGTCAACAGTAAGTTTGATTTTAAAAATAGAATATTGACACAAATATGATCTAATTTAGTGGCTATTAATTACCGATCAACGTAATTTTTTACAGGAATGAAGTATTCGACAACCTCTACACATTGAATAATTTGAATTATCGAGACGAATCCAAAATGAACCGAACTGGGCCGTCCAGTTGAGATACCTAATTGGAGAGAGTCTAATTCCTTTAAAAAATTCGCACTTTTTTTTTTCATAATTACATTCCAAATTTTTTGTATTCAAAAACTTATATTAAACCCAAACCCAATATATATATATATATATATATATCTAATTAGTTCAAGAAATATTCTTATATCTCGGTAGGGGGTTTGGGGTGGCTACTGTGCGGGGTGCACAATAGCCACTGGTGTGCAGTCAAATGAACCTATTTTGGGGCCTATTTCAATAATATGAACCGTTCATATTTTAGAATATATCAAATAGAATATACCTGCAAAAAATTAATTTAATCGCATATCATTTACCCATTCATCCACTCACATTTGTATCTACAAAAATAAAATAACAATTATGATTTAAAGTATTAAAATGAATACAAAGTATTTTAAAATGTAAACCGTTCAAAATGGGCCTCGAAATGGACCCATTTGATTGTACAAATGTGATTACTGTACACCCCGCATAACAGTCACCTCAAATCCCCTAATAGGTCTTATTATTTAGAAAATTTAATCTATCAAATCCGATTTTCTATATTTAAAATTTTATACACATTTTTACCCTCATAGATATTTTTTTACTTCTATAGATATTTTATAATTGAATCTCCCTGTTTTGATATTCAACTTAACTTGTTTGTAAAAATCAATCTATCTATCTATCTCTCTCTCTCTCGATATATATATATATATATATATTGAAGTTAGCAGGTTATCCAAACCACCACAACCACTATCACCCAAACTCCGAGATTGTCCACGATAACAAGATGGCGGCATACAGTCGCCCATTGAACCGGCCTTTAAACCAAGCAATCAGACGTTGCAAGTGTTTTGCTGGCAGACTTGTCGCCATGTTTTATTGGCATATTCCATTGATGATTCTTCCAACTTATTAATGTGAATATCTACATTATTGGAATATTTTAAACATTAACACTATGATGTGAATCTTCTCATTCCTACAATAATTTTTACATTGAGGGACTTTTTGTGAACTCTGATGATTGTCAACCTCTAGATTGTTTAAAATATTATATGTCAAAAAAAATTAGAGAGAGAATCAAATTAATGGATAACATAATGTTAGTAATGGGCGCCCATGTGGCATGATCATTTGAATTTGGAATTTTATCTAAATAGGTTTTGAAATTGAATTCAAACCTATTTAGGATAACCACTCATTACTGATATGGATAGATAATAATAACATATTATATATCTGATATATGGGTTATGGGTAATTAAGAAAAAAAAACAACGTATGATATGTTTTTACCCATATACTGTCTCTCTCCTAAAGAACAACGATAAAGTCATTTGCACTGTGATTTGTGTGGGTGATATTCAATCTGTGATATCACTTCACTGCTAGGTTGGTTTATCAGACTTTGGAAGCACGTGATTTATCCACGAGGTTCTATCATCAACAAGGTATGATCTAAATATTTTATCCGCTGCATGTTTTATACATTGATTTACATTGGTATCAGAGCCATTGATGGATATTTTCTTGTTTCCTTTTAATCATGTGTATATTTTTACATGTGTATGTTTACATTATATACATGTATGTTTGTAAAGGAGAAAAAAAAATCTACTTTGATTAGATTAAGAGCATAAATATTTTTTTATGTTCATTAATGTCTTTTTTCATACCATAAACGGTTTTATTTTGAAAAAAAGAGTCCAGCAGTATAAAAATCGGACCAGTCAGTACCCTGGAAGGCGGCGCGTGGTATGCACGCGCCACCTGACGCCATTAGCCGCAGCCACGCGCGCCCACGCGCTTCCACGCGCCCACACGCGCCAGACGCCCTACAGACGCGCCTGCACGCGCCATCACGCGCGCGTCAGCGGCGCTGTCCACGCGCACGCCGTCCGCGCCTCGCACGCGCGCCGCGTGCTGGAGCCGAGCGCCGAGCCGCGTTTGAGCCGTGCGTCGAGCCGCTCCGAGCCGGTGCTGAGCCGCGCCGTTTTCCTTCGGCGGCTTGGCTGGCTTGGCTGCTTATGCCTAAGGCTCTGTTTATTTGTTTTTAATTCTGAATTGCGTTAATTGGCCATAATTTATTCGTTATAACTTTGTTTTAAGCATGGTTGGTACCGTTAGACTCAGAATTAAACCCATTAAAAAATGGGGAGGGTGGTACCCATGGGGAATGGGGAATGGGGAATGGGAAAAATTTATTATAGGGGAATGGGGATGGGGAATTAATATCCACCCCATTGCCCCCCATTGCCATTCCTAGTGGAATGGGTGGTAGGAGAACAGAATGGTGATAATAGTTAAAGAATTATATTTTTTTTTAAGTGCTAACAAAAAAATTAATAATAAAATTTTATGATAATTTACATTTTATGACTATTCCCACTTAAATAAGGCATATCAAACAAGGGAAAGGAATGCAAAACTAGAATGGATATTCTATTCCAACTCATTCCATCATACTAAATGTACTCTTAACATTTCTCGTTTATTAGATATTTTAGAAGGTGAGTTAGTCGCATTTGTGCATAAACATATATGAGTCAAATATAAGAGGAAGTATAATACGAAATAAAGATTACAAAACATGGCAAAGCAATGAAAAAACAATAAGCATGCCAAATAAACATTTGAGAGCAACAAGCATTTAAACTTTTGTTTCCAGAAATTTTCAGAACAGTTGGTACGGAAAAATACGGAAAACATACTTCTAGGTCAAATTAGGAGCTGAAACTCAACAAACATATAAAACCAGTCTAATTTCATCTCCAATTTGTAGAATTAGCATATCACAACCAAAAATTAATAATTATGCATTTTACCAAACTCTGTCCAGAATTGTCACTCTTTAGAAAAAAAAAATAGATTTTCTCTCAAACTACTCATTAAATTTTGCTCAAATAAATTTTGTTGGGAAGAGGATTTAAATGCTAAATTTTGACATAAGAACCAACATCAGATGATTTTTCTAAAATTTTATAAAAATGCACGAAATGGACTGTTTTTTCTGGAACATAGGACCAGATGAAAAATAAAAAATAAAA